AGCCTGCCAAGAAAACAGATCACCGGAGCACCCGGGGCGAAGTCATCTGGGGGGTCTGGCGGTCAGGGGCAAGGAGGCCGAGAAGCAGTTTATGGTCTGTCAGGATCGTAAAAGGCCAGCCAGGTAATGGTGAAATTTCTTCACCCTGGCCACAATCGCTAGCACCTCCTTGTCGATCTGCGCATAGTTGCGCTCCGCCGACGACAAGCTACGAGAATAGTAAGCTACTGGAACCTCCCGGCCATCCGGTAGCTGGTGGCCTAGAACTGCCCCAACCCCATACGGAGAGGCGTCGCAGGCGAGGACCACTGGTAACACCTCATTGAAATGGGAAAGGACCGAATTTGAGACAAGAAGGTCCTTAACCGCCTGAAATGCGGTGGTGTGCTCCGGTCTCCAAACCCACGGAGCGTTTTTGTCCAGCAGGTGGTGCAGAGGTTCCGCCACCACAGCCTTCAGAGGGAGAAAGGAATGATAAAAATTAAGCAGGCCCAGGATAGCCTGCAGCGCTGTCTTGGACGTGGGTGGGGGGGGGCTGCGTGATGGCCTTGGTTTTTTTGGCTGTGGGGTGGATTCTCTGGGCGTCTATGGTGAATCCCAAAAACTCCACCTTAGGAACTCCGAGCAGGCATTTCTCCCACTTGACCTTCAGACCGGCCGAGTCGAAACACTGAAGCACCGTCCAGAGCTGGTTGGCAAGGGCCGAGGCATCCGGCGTCGTGATGAGCATGTCGTCTAGAAACAGCTGCACTCCTGGAATACCTTTTAACAAATTGTCCATGACAGACTGGAAAATGCTGGGCGCGACTGAAACCCCAAACTGCAGTCGGTGGACCTTAAAAGCCCCCTTGTGTGTTGCTATCGTCTGAGGCTCAGCCGTGGCTGTATCCACCGGCAGTTGCTGGTAGGCCTGGGCCAAGTCCAGCTTGCCGAAAATTCATGCCCCCACCAGTGCGGCCAACACATGGCTGACCACCAGTACCGGATACGCGTGGTCTTGGAGGGCTTTATTCAGGGTGCACTTGTAATCGGCACAGATTCGCATGTCGCCATTAGGCTTCACTGGGGTGACTATCGGAGTCTCCCACTGTGCAGAAGCTACAGGTTCTAACACCCCCTGGGCCACCAAACGATCTAGCTCAGCCTCGATTTTAGGCCTCATAGCTATGGGGGGATGCCTGGCCTTGATCCTAATGGGACGGATGGCCGGGTCGAGTTCGAGTGAGATGGGGGTCCCGGTGTATCAGCCCAAAGTGCCATCAAAAACCCTGGGCAACTCATTACACACAGCCGCGAAATCCTGGAGCTGATTCACCCCTGTGAGGTGCAATCCCAGGGGCCCGAACCACGAAAGTCCCAACAAACTGGAGTGTCTTCCACCCACCACCAGCAAGTCCAATTGTCCATTGAAATCCTTAAACTGCACCGCAAACTTGCCCCAGCCGCGCACCGCCACAGGGTTCTTGCTAAAGTCCTGTAACTTAATCCCCTGTGGCTTCTTCAGAGGAGGTCCCCCCCATGGACAGAGCAAGTGTAGCGTCTCCTCCGAGATTATAGAGTAGGAAGAGCCAGAGTCAACTTCCATACTGCAGGGTGACCCCTCTATCAACACCGTAACATGTACCTTATGGGGGCTATCGGGGGGGCAAGTTGCTTACCTGGTGCGGCTGGTGGTGGGCTGAGAAGGTATGCAGGTCCGTGTGGAGATCCGAGGTCTGGTGGGTTGAAGTCTTCTGTAGTGGTCGTCAGGAGCGGCAGACCCTGGCGATATGGCCCTGCTTGTTGCAGGAGCGGCAGACGACATCCCAGAACCGGCAACCGTGGTGTTCGTGTGCTTCCCCACAGCTGGCGCATTGGGACGGTGCAGAGGGGCTTTTGGCCGATGATGCTCCCCTGGGGCGATGCTGCTGGGAGGAACGGCGGCGGACCTGGAGCACTTCATCGTTCTTGGAGTCATCCGACTCGAGCGTTGCTTGAGTGCGATGGACCGCCCGTACGCGGCGGTCTTTGTGCGCCTTCTCGTAGGCCGTGGCCTCCCTGAGCGCCTTGTCTAGATCCAGGTCGTCCTGGCTAATCAGTTTCCTCCGATGCTGGGGCTCCCAGAGACCCAAGAGGAACTGATTTAGCAAGGCATCTGCCAGGTGAGGAAATGAACACCTGGTGGCCGCCTGCCGGAGCCCGGCCAAGAACTCGGAGGCCGGCTCATCCGGCCCCTGGACCTGCGCAAAAAAGTCCATGCACTCAGCAAACTTTGTGGGCTTTGGTGAAAGGTGGTCGGTAAGCGCTTTCACCAGCACCACATAGAACTTGTCCTTGGTCTGCTTAGGCGCAATGAGGTCCTCAAGCAGCAAGACGGTGTCTATGCCACAGGACCGGAGGAGATGGGCCTTTTTCTTACCCGGGTCTATGATATCGTGGCAGTCGAAGTAGCTCTCCAGGATCTTGAGCCACGTCTCCCACTGTGCAGGGCGGGAGAGGTCGAAAGCGGCGATGCTTTCCTGGGAGATAGCCATCGTACTGCTACATGTGGTGAGGGTCGCTCGGGAACGGCGGCAGCGGCGGCTGGAGCGAGGCAGGAAGCGCTGCTGCTCTCGGGTCAGCAGGGCGAGGTACAAAGCGAGGAGCGGAGCGGTGAGTGGCTACTGGGGAGCGGCTTGCGTTGGTCTTGGCGTTGGGGCTCGATGCGGTGCTCGAATATCTGTCCGGGTCATTGTTCATGGGAGTTAGTATACCACCTTCATCGCCAGTGAAAAGTACTGAGACTTACTAGTGATTTCAGCTCTCATACTTTATTTCAGCTCAGAACAAGACAAACTAACCAGCTTGCAGGCTGGTTTATATGTGCAACCCCGCACCCAAAACACCCCCCCACACAAGTGATTGGCTATTTACAGTGGCCGAGAGTTCCATAGGCTCTCAGCTGGGAGCCTGGCCTGCCGATAGATGCCGGCTTGGATCCACTTGTCCCATTGCTACTGAGAGCGAAGCTCGGATGCTTCACATGACCGTGTGGATGGATACATTACACTTTCTTGCTTGTTTGCTTGCTGGAGATACTGGGGATTGAACCTGCATGCAAAGCAGAGGCTCTTCCACTGACACACAGCCCCTCCCCAGTTACATTAAATCTCCATAAAGGAACAGGGATTCCCTATCTAAAATAGTTTCCTCTTAACTGGTCAGAGGTCCTGGTACATTTTTGAGTCTTCAAAGATGAAGTGCACTCCAGGTTTCAGTTCTAATCTTCCACTCAGGACCAGTTCTGACTAGTGTATATTCCGCTTATCATAAGCATTATCTGAGAAGGGGCAGGGAGAGAGTTGGAGGTAAACTGAAAAGAAATATATATGCCTGGAACCTGGAAGAGGCTCTGGTCAGTTTCAAAGAAAGAAAGCTCGCTCCTCCTTCAAAATGCCAGAAGGAAGCAACAAGGGTAAAGAAAAAGATTACAGCAATGCAGCATTCATCTGGTCCCAACAGAGTGCAGATAATCTAGGTGAAAGTGGTTGGTCACAAGAACAAAAATCAGTCAAGGCTCCTGCTGCCCTTCCTTGGTCTGCCAAATGTTACAGCTGACAGCTAGCTGACTCCCCCACTTCCATCCTCACACACACTTTCTGTTTCTGAATACAGAATATTAATTTCTTCTTGCCATTTTGACTTTCACACTATGTGCAGCTTTTCTTATTTATAGCACATGTTCATATTTTGCTTAAAGCAAATGTTAGCAATCAAACAGCTACTTTGGCAACAAAAAATCCACCAGATGCTTGTCTGCTGACATTTTCCCAACTGCTTCACTAACCAATGAAGCAGAGAGCTGAGTAGCTCGGCTATACCCAGAACAGCTTCTCCATACATAGAGTCTGAGCTGATAGAAGAGTAACTTTGCTAATCTGTTGGATGTTTTCCCCCAATGGACCAACACAGTTACCTACCATTTTTGTCTGTGTTGTAATAAAAATGGCCCTAACTGCAATAAAAAATGATAACTTTCCCATAGCTTCTGTAAGTCATGCTACAATGCCAATAAGATTCCACTCTTTTTCTCTCTCACACACACACACACATCCATTCAGACTGGAAAATCAGAGTCTCCTACCTTCCACAGCTAAGGGGTGGGCATGCAGAGGGAATATGCAATGTACACTACTCAGGAAAAGGTACTAGGATAAGATTACCCATTTTCTCAGCACATCTCTGCACACTGCACAGAAGTCAGAGTGATCATTGCACAGGTCTTGCAAGGGTCTGGAGTTCAATTGTTTTCCAGAGCAGAGAGCACACAGAGGTTCTGCCTCCATCGCTCCAGATCAATGCCAATCGTGAGTCACTTGGGTCAGCAGCATACTCTCATTGTGAACACAAAACCAACTGTTGATGCAGTTTATGGAACCAAGATGGCATCAATCCGCCTTTAATTTGTTACCATTACCCAACAGAACCTCAGAACAGCACAGAACAGAACCTTACCTTGAGGTAAACTTTTCATAGCAGTTTTCAGCCACAAAAGCATGAATGGTTAATTATATTAATGCTAATAAATGAATGGGAGTTAAGGGTATTATGACAGAACACTCCACAGTTATTTGTAGTTAGTGTTCCAGAACATTCCCTTCATAAAGCAGCCACCCTTCAGCTGTTTTTCATAACATAAAAATCTAAGCATAAGAAAATTTGACAAACCCAAGCTGTCCCTTTCACAGATGAGAACACCAAGATGAGTGAATTCTATTTATTCTGATAAACCTTCAAACAGATGCTGGCCACAACACATTTGGTAGCAAATCTAAAGGCCTTCACATTTTAGTCCCATTCTATCAGCTTTGCCGGGCTGGCTTCTTTGCACAGTTTTTCATACACACAAAAGTCCTGCTATTTCAGGTTTTACTGGAAAGTACAGTCAAATCTGTCTCGCCATCACATATCATTCTAGCAGATAAATACTATTCCATTAATTTCCCCCCAACAAAGAGATTAAGGACATGGATACTGCTTACCTCTTTGGGTAAAGACACTAGTTTGTTTCTGTCAACATTCAATATATTTAGTTTCTTTAGCCTTCCAATGGTTTTTGGCAAAGTCTATCGTGATTCAAAGAAAGCAATGTGATCATTATTAACACCAGCAAATTTTCAATGTCAGAAGTTTATCTTGTTAAAAGAGCATAGAACAGGCAAGGATGAAGTGGTTTCCAACAGACACAAGCTACTCTAAAAAGGATTCTGTTTGTGGAACTGGAATTCTGGTTTTGTAACAAGGAATGTTTTATATAAATTGTATGCCTTTTGCTCATCATACAAGTTTCCATGCTTTATTTCTAGGGTTTCCAAGTCTCACTTATGCTTTAGCGGGGAAGATCCAGGCCCCGTCCTGGAAGTGACGTCATCGCGTTGGGCACGTTGGGGGTGGGACCTCCGTCATTCGAGGGGAAAATGTGCCCGACGCGATGACGTCACCTCTGGGTGATGTCTTCACGCCAGGCATGTCTTGCACTTTGGGGGTGGGATCCCCCCCCCGGTGGCCCGATCCAGGTCAGTGGAGAACAGACCCATCGAGCGAGGGTTTCCCCGCCCCCGGGGGGACCTGGCAACCCTATTTATTTCTGTAGATACATTTTAAAGAATCATATTCCAAGCCTTTTTCAATGTTTATAGAGCATTTATGTCTGTATATACAAGACAATGAAGAAGGGCATAAATTTCCACCTGTACGAATCCATTGTATAGTGGTAGCACCAACCATATTTATTTTGTTTTATGAGCATTTGGGAAATACTGTGCACTAATCTCTCAATTTGCTGTCCACACTAAGGACAAAAAAACCCTTCACAAAACAGGGAAAGAAAAGCTTCCCAATACATGCCAATGGGTAAGGAAGCAAGTGAATTGTATGCTGCGGTCGAATACTGGCATATTAATAGGCTGAAGATGCATAACTGAATTTAAAACCCTGCCCTTCTAACAAAGCCCAGCAGTAACAATTTTAAAAAATCCACAAATAACTGTCTGCCGAATACTAACGCACAACTCACAACAGACATTAAATCATAACAAAATCTTACCCACACATGTAACCTGATCACTAGACAACATCCCAAAATCAACCCACAGCCATTTTTATTACAAAGCCCAATAATTATTTTCAGCAAAACGCTCTTTGACACAGCCAAGTTTTGCACATTTTCCAAAAGGCAAGGAAGCAATCTAATGAACAGATCCTGGAAAGCCATTCCATAATAATAGAGTGGCAATTGAAAAAAGTCCAATTTCTGGTCAAGGCCCCTGAGATGGAGGAACAAGCTAAACAATCACTGAGTGATTTAAGATGATACATAGGCATCTTCTTAATTACTGTTTTCATGACAAAAGTAATAAACAGTGAACCATCATACACTAAAAGGGAAGCCTAAGATTTGCTACACAAGGAAAAGAGCTCCTGTGTTATAAATATACTGTGGGTGCTTTTGTATATATCCTGTCTCTCATATGTTAGCTAATCATATGCTGATGAGTCATTATTTAATTTGCATACTATTTATATAACATTCTTACTGGCTGGGAAGAGAAGATGGGAACTGCCAGTCAACCCAGCCAACCTAGCTTCATCCACGTTGCAAGGCTATATCATCCATCCTCTCCCTCATCACTAAAAGGGCTATTCAGAATTATGACAGGTAGTGTACCATCATGCCAAAGAGCCAGTTTGGTGTAGTGGTTAAGAGCAGCAGACTCTAATCTGGCCTTGGGCCAGTCACAATTCTTTCAGAGCTCTCTCAGCCTCTAAAAACAAGCCGAGGTCACCACTAGCATAATGCTAAGATGCTTGTGGCTGCCAGACATTCTTAGGATCTCCTGGCTATTCTACACACAACGTCATACGATAATTATAATAATTATTATATATGCCAAAGATCTTCATTGAAGAATTTACTACAAGCTAAATTTGACCTACATCAAAACTGCATGATTGCAGTTTAAAGTTCTGTTACTACCATGTAGCTTATTTCCCCCCCCCCCCCCCAACCTCCCCCCCCCCTTCAGACAGTCCTTCACCTTATTCAACATTTTCTTTAGACAGACAGGTTCTAGTTCTTCACCACATTATTCATAAGGGAGTAAAATGAAAGATGCTGTTATCCAAATGAGCCTGTCCTGGACCAAAAACTAATTACTGCCATCCATTTGAAGAGCTAAAATCATACTTACCAGAAGCTGGTTTTCAGTAAGAACTAACTCAGTAAGGCTTTCACAATCACCTATTGCTTCTGTTAGCTGAACAAGCCGATTCTGGTCGACCTTCAAGATTGATAGTCTTTTTAATTTCCCTATTGGCAGAGAAGAGATCCATTTAGTACACCACATGTAGAACAAATTTAGAGTCCTGTGGCACCTTTAAGACCAACAAAGGTTTATTCAAGGTATGAGCTTTTGTGTGCAAAACACACTTTTTCAAATACAGTGAAACGGGAGATAAGGTTCAAACTTATAGATAGGCTGAACAGCAAATTAACATGTAACGTGATGAAGATGTTTTAAGGTATGCAAAAACAGAATTAAATAACAAGATAAGGTTATAAGGTCAACAGTTGTAAAATTCACTCTCAGAGCATGGAGGTCATTTAAGCAGCCATTTTTAATTTATCTTTCGAGGTGGGAGCAGTGTATGTCAGCCAAACAATCCAATACTCCTTGTATAACATTCAGTATACTATTCTGAAAAAGAAATACACTAAAATACAGAGGATGTATAGTCCCTCTTTCGTTTATAATCTTTTCATAGAAAAATAATCCACTACAATTGGACAAAGAAAACAACACCATGGAGGACAATGGCATTCAAGAAAAGGCATGCACGTTTTGCTCAGGATGCTCTAGAACACTGTGCTGCTGGAAGAGCCTTAACATGGCAGGGACTGGAATGCCCCGATGCCTGGTGAGAACTGGGCACCAAAATATGGTCTGTACAGAATCTACAGTGCCTTCCAAGTGGTAATTTCTCCCTTCCCTTCATGGGCCGTTAAGACTGGAATAGGAACCTTGGTGTTTTATCAAATTAACAAAACAAGTCAAAGCTATGTCAAAGGCGGAGATCCGGTTCCGGGTTCATCGAGAGTGGTCGCAGGTAGCTTCAGCTCGACGCCCGTTACACTCCTACAGTTTTCTAGGGGCTTCCACCACCCTTAGAGGTACTCTCTCGGAGGGAGAGACCGAAAGCATAACTCTTGCCTACAAATTCCAAGGAAGAATGGAAACTTTCTGGACCATTTGGGGCTGAGTCAATGCGGAAAACTGACGAGGGAAGCTCGACTAGATGCCGAGCACAAGACAACCCACCAGGACCGACGGAGTCTTTTAACTACCGAAGAAGGAACGAAAGCTCCAATGAAGCTAAGTGTTGATAAAAAAACTTCTCCTTTGAAGGGATAGCTTATTAATATATAGGACCACTAATAGAGAAAATATCCTAAGAAGTACGAAGTGAAAGTAAAAAGGGGAAGGTTTCCCCTTTAAGATGGCCATTAGCGGGATGAGTAAACAGAACTAGAAGAAAGAGTTAAGAGGGTAATGAAACAGAAAGAGGGAAACTGCTTTAAAAAAAACAGGAACGGCAATATTACAGCTTTCTCTCTTCTTCTTTGGTGACTTACCTTTCAGATGGTGTTGTATGGAGTCGCCAGAAAATAGTCCAGAAAAGAAAAGAAACACAGAGTCATGGCAACGCGAAGACGCGGAGAGAGAGGGTGTGACTGAGCAATGGATGAGAAAGCAGACGTGACTGTGCAACGGAGGAGGAAGGAGGGGTGACGGAACAAAGCACAGAAGGAGAAGGGGAAATAGAAGAGACGATTCGAAAAGAGTGGCAAAATAGAAGTGGAGTGGAGAGAAACAAAATAGAGTTATAGAAGAGGACTTTTGGTGAAATGAACATAGAGAAAGACTGTGAAATATAGCTAAAATAAGCAAAATAAGTAATCTACTGGTCTAGAAATTTAGTAATCAAATTAGAGACAATTTTGTAAAGGAAGAAGAGTCAAGACAACAGCTAAGAAAGATATAAAATTAACTATTTAGTAATTAAATAATACTGGTAGGACATTTAAATGGCAACTGGTGGTGCAGTTATCAGGAAAGCATCACTAACATCTCCAGGACAGTCAAGTTCACAAACACAACTCAAACTCAACACTATGAATGCACCTCAAATGTCAATTAAAGACTTAAAAGCACTCATCCAGGAATGTATGGCTCAGACCATCAAAACAACAGTAGAAGCAACAGTACCTGAATTAATTAGGCAAGAAGTAGAACCCATTCAAATTAAAATGGGAGAAATGATCAAAAAAGAAATGGAACCGTTACAAACAAAAATAGAAGATATAGCACAACAGATTACATCAGAAACTGAGGACATAAAGAAACAGATAACTGAAAATAAACAAGAGAGAATGAAAATTGCATTAGCCCACAATAATACAGAGGACAGATTACATGAAGTAGATTCACTGCCACAGGAAGTGGTGGCAGCTACAAGCATGGACGGCTTCAAAAGGGAATTAGATAAGCATATGGAGCAGAGGTCCATCAGTGGCTATTAGCCACAAGGTATAGATAGGGACTCTGGGGCAAGTGATGCTCTGTCATCTTGGTGCTTGGGGGGGGGTGTCAACAGTGGGAGGGCTTCTAATGTCCTGGCCCCACTGGTGGACCTCCTGATGATACTGGTATTTCTGGCCACTGTGGGATACAGAGTGTTGGACTGGATGGGCCTTTGGCCTGATCCAACATTGGCATCTCTTATGTTCTTATGTTCTTATCAGGAGGTACAAAAATTAAAGCAAAAAACAGATAGAATGGAGGAGTCATTGATGGCTTTGAAAATGGAAAAGGCATCCTTAGTTATAAGGTGCCAAAACATACCTGAGACAATAGATAAAAGTTTGGAAGAAGATAATAGTGCAAAACCTAACAGAACAATTAAACATAGGAACACCTGAGGAACTGAAACAAGAAATAGATGCAATTCATAGGAAAAATTCATTTTACGCAAACAAAACACCCAGGGAGGTACACATTAAATTTAACAGAAGACACATGAGAGACTAAATTCTTAGAGCATCAAATGACACAAAAGTGAAAATGCAAGATAAAGAGATAAAGATACTAAAAGATGTTCCTTGGAGAGTTAGGGAAACTAATTTGTTACAAGTAAACAAAATTACATATAGGTGTTTATTCCCAGAAGGCATTCTATTCAACTACGACAGAAGTAGACATAAAACTGACTTGATATTCAAAGTTAGAGACTTTTTGGAAAGGTACGGTGAAAATTTCGGTTGGCAAGGAGAAGAGGAGGAGAGTGAATTAGAGGAAGAAATCAATTATCCAAAAGCAGAAGAGACAGATAAGAAAGGAAAATACAAGGGGAAAAAAGAACGAACTTTACACCTTCGCAAATACGAAAAAGATATCAATATAGAGTAAAGACAAAGAGAAATATAAACAAAGATGGAGACAAGAAGTAAGCTCAAGATATTATCGGTCAATGGATTTAATAGCCCACGAAACAAAAGGATATTCTACCAAATAAATAAACTTAAACCAGATATATCTTGTTTACAAGAGACCCACATTAAGAAAGAAGATGACAAGTATTTAACTTTAAAAAAAGGAAAGTTTTTTTCGCATCTGATACAAAAAAAAAGGTGTAGCCATATATGCTAAAGAAAAAAGCTTTGCTGTAATCTATGAAACACAGGCTGATTCTCTGCTGAAATTCTGGTATGTTCCAGTAACAAACGTAAATTTGCAATATGCTCTGTAGTACCTCTTTCTTTTCTGAATCCAGCTTGAACATCTGGCATGTTTTGTTCCATATACAGTCTATGACCCTTTTCAAATTGGCTTTGCATTCTGTTTTAGTAACTGGTTGCTAATGGAATTTTTCTGTCATTTCAGACAGACCCATTTTAGTAGCTGGCTGCTAGCAGAATTTATTTACCTGTTTATACAAACCCACTTGCATTGGGTTAGCAAAGTGCGGTTGAGCCACTTTGAAGGGAAACTGCTTTTTCTGTTTTCAACCCCTTTGTTGCGCTGCTGAATTGCTATGGTGTGCCATTTAAAATGTCCATAGCACTTCCTACAACACCACTTCCCCTCCACCCTTTTTTGTAGCGCAATCTTCCTCGGACTTTTTAAATCTTCTAAGGTGAACACTATAGTGCTAAACCACTCCAGCACTGAAGTGCTACAACGGCACCATTGAGATGCATTGGATGAAGTGCTATAGCGGCACCACTGAGATGCATTATAGTGCTCACCTTAGAATGTTTTTTAAAAATCCGAGGAAGATCGCACAGCAACAAAGGGCAGGGGGGGAAAGTGGCATTGTTTGAAATGACCATAGCACTTCAGAGATGGCTCATTAATGGAAGGAAATTTATTCTATCTATCCCTATATTTGCTTTACTCAAAATTGGAACAACAATGAATAGCATCTGGTTTAGAAAAGTAATGTGAAAAGGGCCTTCGTTGTAAGATTGTGAGCATCATTTTACTTGCATGAGACATTAATGTCATGGTCTGATAGTTGCTGCAGACTTTGACATCTCCTTTTTTGGAACTGGAATGTAGATTGAGTGTTTCCAGTCTGTGGGCCATTGTTTTGTTTTCCATATTTGTTCAAGTAGCTTCTGTGGCTTGTAATAGCTCTACTAATATCCTATCTACTCCTAGTGATTTGTTTCTCCCAATTGCTTTGAGTGCAGCTTTCAGTTCATTTTTTAAAAAATTGCAGGTTCCTTTCAAAAGATTCTTCTTGGAAGGAATCTGTCATTCTTTCATCTCTTTTCTCCAGTGTTTTTCACTGAACTGTTTCTAGCTTTTCTTTATTTTGTCCTGTTCAGTTACAACATTTCCACACTGATCTTCCAGTATGCTTAACCATTCCTTAAATTTCCCTTTGATTTCTTGGATACTGTTGAACCCTCTGTCTTGTTCTTTTTCATTGTTCTCTTGTATTCATCGACACTGGTTATTATATTACTTCTCTTTGTCTCTAACATGCCAGTCTTCTGATTTGATTTCTGCCATCTTTTACTTTGCTTGTTGTCTTATCTTTAGCAATTTTAAGAGTTTCTTCAGTTATCCATCAAGGCTTTCCACTTCTTTTGGCTACAGGAATGCTCTTTGCGTATTCTTCCTTGAAAATACCCTCTGGTTTCAACCCTTAATTCTTCTGGTTCATGTTTGGATGCCAGAGAAAGGCCTTAGCCTCTATGCCCTCATTCACTGGCCTTGCAAGACCAAGGCTGAAACAGGATGT